GAGCGACCAGAAAATCAGACAAAAATAAAGTTTTTGGTCCATTTCATCCCCTAAATATTAGCCAATCTTTATCAAAAACAATAGGGGTCTTCATTGGCCAAAACCCATCCATCATGCAAAATTTCGTGAAGATTGGTCCATAACTGTGGTCTGTATCGTGTTTACAAATTATAATGGACAGACGGACGGACGGACACACATGTCTAGATCGACTCAGCTAGTCGAGATATGACGGTATACTTAAAGGTGGGTCTAGGACCGATATTTCGCGGCGTTACAAACTTTTGGGGCTGCACAAAGCTATAATACCCTGACAACATAGTTGTGTAGGGTATACATATAATTTAGTTTGTTTTCCTTTTAATTCGAACCTCCACTAATTCAAGAAAGTCCCTATAAAATTTCAAATGAAAATCTCAAAAACTTTTGAAGATATATGCGATTTATTGTGTGAGCATCAAGCGAAGGTCTCTTTAAACGAGTTTTTCTCGAAACAGTGTTTTTACGAATGGCGGGTGTGATAACTAAAAACCTAACAAACCAATCGGTTCCAAATTCTGACACATTTCTCTGTAAGTGTATAGCTACCATATGAACTTATTTCTTGGCTTAGTTTGTGCTAAAATAGGCGATTTTCCAAAACAACTTTTTTCAGACGTCTGCCATTTTGCCAATTTTTGAGCGAATACGAATCATACGAGAGCCAGATATGTACTCTTTCTAACACCGTTGGATTTTTCGGATTCCGATGTTCCAGTGAGGAGTTATCATTCCCTTAAGTATGATTTAATGCCTGGTGGCGGATCTTTTTGAAATGTTTATCATATGCAGTGTTTGGGATACTGATTGCGACGGTACCCATTTTTCTTGCGGAAATCCATATTTCCGGAGTTGTGGGTTTCCAATGTTCCGCTCGGACACTTGTACTTTCTAATAATTTTTAAAATTATCTATGTTATATAGCATGGGTATCAATTAAAAGCGTTTGAAGTCCTGATAAAAAATGTTATTTCCTCATCGATAAAGCTTATACTTCCAAAGATAAGAAGAAGTCCCAGGAAATATGGTAATTAAATTTAATTTGATAATTAAATATGAAAAACGTCAATAAAATCTCCAAAATACCCAGCATTTAAACGAAAAATTCTTCGAAGGACTTGAGATAGAAGGAGGGAATTTTTACAACAATGTTCCTAAATCGATTTGACTGCATACATGTGATCTCAAAAGTATAATACTTTTGCAGTTTATTTTTGAGATCACATTTGTGCAGTCAAATCGAATGAGGAATATAATTGTAAAAATGCCCTCCATCTATCTCGAGCCCTTCTAAGAATTTTTCGTTTAAATGCTGGGTATTTTGGGGATTTTTTCGACGTTTTTCATATTTTAGTATTGGTTCACTTTTTGTGATAGCCCCCCGATACGGAGGCAAATATTAATAACAATTAGAAATGGTATGCGGGGGCGGAATAAAGGTCCATTCATTAATTTGTTAATATTATATTAAAGCCCTTTTAACATGCATGCATTTATGTATGTCTACAAAAATATTATAAATGTCTCTTACATGGTATTAAATCACAAATTTATGTCCTTCGAAAATTTTTATATTTATGTTTGATTTGACAACATAATAGAAACTATGATCTACTTCGAAGTTGACTAAAATTTCATTTTGCCATTTTCCATATTTACGTTTTATAAGAAGACCTGCAATTAATTAAATATTTGCTCTGTCAATAGTGTAATTAACACAATGGTTGAAAATTTAAAACTTTTAACTGTTAAGCTGAAATGTGGAAATGGAAATTGCGCCGACCTAAATACGACTCAAATGCATTGGTTTATTTTTTAATATTAAATTAAGCAGATTCGACAAAAGTGTATTTCCCAAATAAAATCGAAATTTCTAAATATATTTTGAAGTTGTATTTAATTTTTTATATGCTGTTAATATTTTTAAAAATTATTTATTTCATTTATTTCTTTACATATTTGAAGGGTTTTTTAAAGCTTCCCTCGACTAAGATAATTTTCTGTTTGTTTCGCAGACAATAGAAGAATCCATGATCAGCATTGAAAATTTCCGGAGGGGCAGGAATGTTATATCGCGATGATTTCACTAAATGTACAATAGCTAAGGAATATACATATAGGTAATTATTTCCTGATTTAAAAAGTTTAATATATTTAGTTTTATTTTATTAACATAACATAAACACATTTACCTTAAAATTATAATTGTGTATATTTATTTTACGGATATTTTAGAAATCAGAATTACAAAATAATTTCAATTTAATAAAAATGTTCAGTTGAATTAGTAGCAATTTTGGATTTTGTTTTTTTTTTTTTATTTTACAAGTGTGACTAATTTTTTTGCAACTTGTATATGGTATACAATATAAGGGTGTCTTTCAATACAGAGTTATTGATTTCGTGGTTTCACCAATGTTTTTAAATAAATATTTTGTTTTCAGTTGAATGTCTGACATTGACGAAAATGTATTGCTTTAACTTATCATAGCATATTGTGCTTTAAGAGGAGATACATAATCGCCATAAGCTACGAAAACCTCACAAGGTGAGCAAATTAACCTCATCGACACCGACGTCTACATTCTACGGATTTCTAGTGAGCTTCCCGTGGCAACTGAGAACACCGACCCGCGCCCGAAACAACGAGTGAGTTTTCCTTACATGCTGACAGAAATAAATTTCCGTGACTAACTCTGGCCGGGGCGAACTAAACCCAGAAACGGGGGGAAATTGAGTCGTTACAAAGTTTATGTGCAGACCGAATTTAAGGTACACCACCTGTAATTTTAAGAATATTAGACACATTACTTTGATATTTACGTTCTCTGCCTACGAACATGTATCGAAAAGCCCATTGTAGTGATGTTGGTAGCCAAATTCTTAGTTGGCGAAAGGCAATTATGCACCAAATGGTCACTTTTTAACAAAACGAAATAATAATTTTTAACCCTATAAACTATATATATATATATTACTGATCAGCGCAAATTCAATGTTCTATTGCATAGAGTCATCTTTTTTCTACAGGCAGGTCAAGTTCAAAGATTGGATATATCGGTCCAAGTTTTGGCATAGCTTCCATATAAGGGTACCTCCCCCCCCCCCCTTTTCTGTATTTTGGGATTCTTGAGCGCGTTTTTCAACCAAATTCGCTGAAATTGGTACATCAGGTTCTTATTCGGTATGTACTAAATTTCTCCACTAAAACTTATAATTATAGGTGCACTGTTTCCATATAACGGTAGCCCCAATTTTCAGTATTTTCGGGGTTTTGATATCCCCTATATAAGGGTACCCCCAGTTTTCGGCATTTTGGGGTTCTTGAGCTCGTTTTTTAACCAAATTGGTATTTTTCAGTCGTATATGATAACAAATCACCCTACAGGTCCTATTTATAATCCGATTTGGATGATATTTGGCACAGCTCACTTATTTGGCCCAAGGATGAACCCTATTGAAATTGGAGAAAATCGGTTCAGATTTAGAAATAGCTCCCATATATAGTTTAGTCCGATTTTATGTAAACGGTGCACCAAACTCCCAATATTTGTCCGAATGAAAAAAGTTTGTGCACGTACTGAATTAAATCCAGTTTGAAGGCAGCGAAATTTTTTTGAAATCGGTTCAAATTTAGATATAGCTCCCATATATAGTTTCGTCCGATTTTACCTAATTGGTGCACCAAACTCCCAATATTTGTCATATTGAAACTACATTTTGTGCACGTACTGAATTAAATCCAGTTTGAAGGCTGTGAAATTTCGTTGAAATCGGTTCAGATTTAGATATAGCTCCCATATATAGATTCGTCCGATTTCATGCAAACGGAGCACCATACTGCCAATATTGGTCCCATTGAGACAACATTTTGCACAGGGTACTGACTTAAGTCCAGGTTGATGTATGCGAAGTTTTGTTGAAATCGGTTCAGATTTCGATATAGCTCCCATATATAGTTTCGTTCGATTTTATGTAAATGGTGCACCAAACTCCCAATATTGGCCGATTGAGACAAAATTTTGCATTAGGTCTAGATTGGTATATGTTCCCATACTTATTTCGTCCAATTTTATTTAAATGGAGCACCAAACTCCCAATATGGGTCGATTGAGACAAAATTTTGCACACAGTAGTCTTCAGGGACGTATGCATATATTTTTTTGTGCAATGATAATTTTCATATTGAACCATTAGCTTCCACCCAACCCAGCGAAATAAAAAACTGGTTACATTGGTAATGGACTCATATAACTGCGACCATAAATTGCAGTATTTTGCGTCGTCAATACTGCAATTTAGAGGTCGCACTTCCATGCGTCGTCAATATCGGCCCACTTTTGGCAATTTTTAGGAAAAATCTCCATTAAAAATTGCTGAAATTTGTAATTGGTGTACTTTTGGTTTACATAAATCGGTATAGACCCAATTCTTGGTATGTTCTCTATATATTAATTTCAAGTACCTGTCCGTATGCCTATTGTGGAGGGTATCAAAAGTTCGGCTCGACCGAAATTAACGCTTTTTAACTTGTTAAGTAGTTTAATGGTCCTAGACGCATTCTTCAACCGACCGAAATTTTATTGTTATTTTCCGCAGAGGATACAAATCTTCCTGGATTCATGTTTTTGTCATAGCACTTATAAAATAGTCTCGACCGTCTTGAAGAAATCTATATGTCAATTATCATTGAGTGATAGATTTTATCTTTATGGCCAGAATAAACATACATATTTTTTAAAATTTACATTCATAGCGGAAAAACGCGGCGAAAAAATAAATATAAATAATTAACATATACTACATGAAATATTAAAATATATTACAAATTATCTTACCGTTACTTTAGAATTTTTTTACAAACAGAAACAAAATTATTATTGGTAAGAATTTCCTTTCATACTATTAATCTATTTAGTTGCCAAATATATTTATATAAACAAATATATGTACGTTTGTATTTATAATTCATCACTAAGTCTATTTGTATTTAAATCTGGTGATGGTGCGGTTGTAATCGCTTCAGCCACGGCGATTCGATATGAACCCATGAATAATGGTATATTTATTGTTGTTGCATTCGATGATTCCGTTTCAGAATCAGATAATGGTGATGATGGTGCGGACGTTACAGTTGTTGTTTTATGATTCAATTGATATATAAATGGATGGTCAACGTTGAATTCTTTTGGTTCGTCAAAGTCGACTATGCCGCGTTTCTTTCGTATTAACATGCCTAAACGAAAACACATACATACATATACACACAGAGATACACACACACAGAAACATAAAGCATAGGTTAGAAAAAATGTAATATTATGAATTTACGTATATAGAAAATAAATAGGATGGAAATGATATAGAAATGGAAATGGGGTAAAGTGAAAGAGGAAGGGGATTTTTTTTGGAAAAATGGTGTGAAATATTAGAGTTAGTAAAAGTTTATAATTAATTCCTTCGGTTAAAATGTCAGGTTCGACTGATGGTAAAATCTGTAATTTATGCTGAAGATTTTTTTAAGAATTTTTGGATTTTTTTAGGATTTCAAGGTGAGGATTGTTTAAGGAGAATTGAAGTCTGGAATATTTAGGTGTTTTAGAGCTCCAGGGCGAGTAATTTCTAAGGAGGATTTTTGAGGCTTCAGGTCATGGATTTTAAAAGAATATTTTAGGATTTTAAAGAAGGTTTAAGGGCATAAATATGATTTTTTTGAAAAATGGTGTGAAATATTAGAGTTAGTAAAAGTTTTTAATTAATTCCTTCGGTTAAAATGTTAGGTTCGACTGATGGTAAAATTTATGCTAAAGATTTTTTTTAGGAATTTTTGGATATTTTTTAGGATTTCAAAGTGAGGACTGTTTAAGGAGGATTGAAGTCTGGGATTTTTAGGGGTTTTAGAGCTCCATGGCGAGTAATTTCTAAGGAGAATTTTTGAGGCTTCAGGTCATGGATTTTAAAAAAATATTTTAGGATTTTTAAGAAGGCTTAAGGGCATAAATATGACTGTACATGCTATAAGGGTGTGGATTTTTAGAGGTTATTTTAAAGAATTTTTAAGTCACGAAGGCGCCGATTTTTAATGCTACTAAGGTGAGGATTTTGAAAGAATTTTTGATGATACTAAGGCGGGGATTTTTAAATAATTTTTGATGCCTTCAGGGCCAGGAGTTTTTAAAGAATTGTTGATGCCTTCAAGGCGAGGATTTTTTTTAAGAATTTTTAATGCCTCCAGGGCGAGTATTAAAGAATTGTTGATGCCTTCAGGGCTTGGAATTTTAAACAATTCTTGATGACTTCAGGGTGTGGATTTTTTTAAAGACTTTTTGATGCCTTTTGTGTGCCGATTTAAAAAAAGAATGTTTGATGCCTTCAGGGCGAGGATTAAAGAATTGTTGATGCCTTCTGGGCGTACGTTTATTAAACAATTGTTGATGCCTTCAAGGCGTGGATTTTTTAAACAATTCTTGATGCCTTCAGGGTGTGGATTTTTTTTAAAGAATTGTTGATGCCTTCTGTGTGCCGAAGAATTTTTGATTTGATTTTCCAAAAAGTTTTGTTGCCTTCAGGATGTGGATTTTCAAAGAACTTTTGAACCCTTCAGAGTTTGGATTTTTTTAGAAGTTTTGAAGCCATCAAGGCGTAGTTTTTTTAAAGAATTTTTACGTAGATGTTTTAATAAATTGTAAAATAATTTTTGGAAAATATTTAACACCATCAAGGCCTGTAATGATTGTTTTATAACATATTTTATTTATACCCTTCACCACACTGTGGTATATTATGTCTTTGTGCATGTGTTTGTAACAGGCAAAAGGAATCGAGACAGACCCATGGTTCCTTTTGAGACTATACATAGAATCGCTTTCTGAGTCGATTTACGCATGTCCGTCCGTCTGTTCGTCCGTCAGTCCATGTAGTTTTGTGAACAAAGTACAGGTTGCATTTAAGATCCGATTTGAATGAAATTTGGGTCAATTCACTTATTTGGCCCAAGGACGAACCCTATTGAAATTGAAGAAAATCGGTTTCGTACGATTTTTTGTGAATGATACACCAAACTTCCAATATTTGTCCCAAGGACGAATTCTATTGAAATTGGTGAAAATCGGTTCAGATTTAGATATAGCTCGCATATATAGTTTCGTCCGATTGTTTTGTGAATGATACACCAAACTCCCAATATTTGTCCAATTAGGACAAACTTTTTACAAAGTTCTTAATTGGGTCTAGACTGATGTCTGCAAAGTTTTTTTAAAATCGGGTCAAATTTAGATATAGCTCCCATATATAGTTACGTCCGATTTTTTTTTGTGGATGATGCACCAAACTACGATTAGGACAAAATTTTGCACAGAGTTCTTACTTGGGTCTAGACTGATGTCTGCAAAGTTTTGTTAAAATTGGTTCAAATTTAGATATAACTCCCATTTATAGTTACGCCCGATTTTTTTGTGAATGATGCACCAAACTACCAATAATTGTTCGATTGAGACAAACTTTTGCACAGAGTTCTGTATTCGGTTCATACGGATGTCTGCGCGGTTTTGTTAAAATCGGTTCATATTTAGATATAGTTCCCATACATATTTACGTCCGATTTTTTGGTGAATAATGCACCAAACTACCAATATTTTCCGATTGAGACAACATTTTGCACAGAGTCCCATACATATTTTCGTCCGAATTCCATAATTTTCCATAGCGAATGCAATTCAGGAAAAACTGATGTGTAATTAGGTTTTTTGAAATCTGTTCAGAGTTCTATATAGGTCTTATATATATTTTCGTTCGATTTTATATAAATGGTGTACCGAAGAGCCCATGTTTGTTCGATTTACACGAAATTTGGCAGAGGGTATTGAATTGAATATAAAGTTCTAAAAAAGGCAACGTTGCTCAATTAGGCCCCTGTGTTTATATATAGCTCCCACATATACTTTTACTCAATTTCATTCAAATGGTACAACAATGAATCCAAATCAGCCCGTTTGACATGCAATTTTTACTGATTTCGGAATGATATGTATGTGGTTTTTTTCAATTGATTCAAATATCTATCTAGTTAGCACATTTAATTTCGTCCGATTCCATCTCAATGGTCCTCCAAAAAGTCTATGTGTGTTCTATGTACAGGATATTGTATATATTAACGTCTCTTGTATGTACCCAAAGTGGTGAAGGGTATCATATAGTCGGCCCCCTCCGACTTTTGAACTTTCATTGCTGGTTTTTTTAAGTTTTTCAAAATTCTTGTTTATTATCGGTTACCCCTTTTGACGAATTTTTTAAATATCTTGTTACGTTTTTTTTAATTTTAAAAATTAATTATATACCATAGTCTACCATAAATTGTTTATTATTTTAAAGCGTTAGTATTATGAATTGATGGTATGGACAAAAGACAGATGTAGAAAATAAATTTTCCCAATATTAAATGAAATTGACAACATACCTGTAGCAGCGGCAGCTTCAGTACCCTTTTCATTCACCTCAATGAAAGCCTTATGAATGACCTTGGAAACAGCCAGTTGTTCAGGGGAATTCAACATTTTGCTAAAGTCAGCTTCATGAGAGAACATGCGACCCATGCCAATCTGTAAAGAAAAACCAAAAACACTTTATCCACCTTTCTTTCCCAAATAAATTCTTCACTTACACTCTTCAAAACATCACTTAATTCCATTTCAAATTCAGCCTTGAATTTCGGCAAATCCACATTAACCTTATACGAACTCATTTTACTGGTCAAATCATGCAGCGAAACTGTTTTCAATTTTTCCTCCAAATCGACAAGGCCCGTTCGAGAATTTGGCAAAATAATTAACATCGAAAGATCAGAATTTTTATAGGGCAATTCCAATGCTTTGGCATCCAATTCGGGAAATTCTCCATAACGGAAACGTTCGCTGATGTGCATCATTGGTACCTTAACACTATTGGTTTCATCCAAATAGAAATCTTTCTCCTTAGTGGCATATTCGGGGAATGGATGAACCCATTCGCCTTTGAAGTGGATAGCATTTACCAATACCAAGCGGGTATCGGCATTGAGTACACTAGGCGGGACAAGATCTTTAATTAAATTATTTGTCTTCGACTCCACCCAGGAGTTAATCGTCTTGGCAGCCACTTGATTTTGTCCAAAATCAATATTATCCACAGCCGAAAAGAATTTCTTTGTTAGCAGTTCATTGAATTTTTCCTTGATTTCGTAGTTTTTCATCACGTAAATTTTATTGGCAATTTTCAGAATATTACTATTTTCATATTGTGCCAATATGGTGTGATAGTTATTGGCCAAGGATTCTTCGTTTTGTACAGTTAAATCCATACCCTTGTCCATTTCAATGGCTGTATCTCCGGCAGCTCCCATGCGAGCCATGGCGATACATGTTTGTATTGAAAACGGAGAGAAAACGACATTCTTCTTGGCATTAGCTTTGGCAACTTCGGTGAAAAGTTTAACACCAAATGTTTCCAAACTTTGAGAGAATTCTACGTTAGCCATATTTTTCTTCTTACGTCCTTCTACGGCGGAGGGTGAAGAGAGGATACACAGTAGAACAGCAACGCTGAGTAAAACAGGGAGATTGACTGCAATATATTAGAAAGAAATAGAATAATAATTAATATTCCAAGATAACTATTGAATAAATATTGTCTATTTATAGCTTGAGGCTACGTTCTTTATTAATAAATTGGAATTTATAAAAATTGACGAAACACAGATATATTAAATATTTCTTCTTTAAAACCATGTCTTGGATTTTGAAGGCCCCAAAGGGTGGGACCTTAAAAGGCGTGGGTTTTCCAAAAATGTTTTAAAGCCATCAAGGCGTATATTTTTTTAAGAAAATGTTGAAGCCATCAAGGCGTGAATTTTTTTAAGAAAATTTTGAATCCATTAAGGCTTGGTTGATGGGGGTTCCCCCCGTAAGGAATTTTTGAAGCCATAAAGGTGTGTATTTTTAACAAATTTTTCATTTAATAAATTTGTGAAGCCATCAAGGCGTGTATTTTAAGGAAATTGGCGTTGTTTTTTTTTTTTTGATTTTTTAAAATTAATAAATTAAATGAAATAGATTTTTTTGTTTTGTTTTTTTTATTAATTAATAATTTTTAAAACTATCCAATGTTCCTCGCAATGGAACATCCAAAATGTTTATTGTTCCATTGCGAGGATATTTTACGATTTCAATGTTAGGCTTTTATGGTTCCAATGCGAGGATTTTAAGGGTGTTGATGTTTTGAGGTTACAGGGAAAAGATTTCTTAAAAGGGGTTCAAGGATTTCAATGTTAGAAATTGAAAAAATTTGTAATTTCAGGGCCCGAATTTTTTAAAATAGTGTTTAGGAATAAGCATGTCATGGCGGGTCAAATGGACCCTTACTTTTGTATGAAAAAAATGTATATGAATGAAAAATGTATGAATATGAAAAAAAGAAGGACATAGACCCGATAAATTGATAGTATATCCAAGAGGAGTGGCTGACCTTTAAATTTATAGGGAGTTACACTTACATATTTACAGGTGATTATGTTTCATGACACATTACCACACTGAAATATAGCGCGCTAGATTTTAAATTTTTTCAGGAATGGTCAAGGACAACACCTATAATTTTCGGTGATGATCAGATAATAATTTTGGGATGAATTGGACCAAAAACTTAATTTTTGTGTTTTTTTTCGAGTCGATCTATAGGCCACAATTGAAAGTCGAACACAAACCACCGTGAAGGCAATCTGGACAAATAATTAGAAGGGCTGTACTGAATATTAGTAATATTTGGAATATATATATATATATATATATATATATTCCCTGGTAGTTGTGTAGGGTATCGTATGGTCTTCCCCGTCCGACTATACTGCTCCGCTCACTGGTTTTGTATAAATTTTTCAAAGGTCACAGGTTTGGATTATTTTAGGATTCAAATGAGTTTCAAAGGAAGGCTTTTTAAAGGGATGTTTAGGTTGCCTGATCCACATTTGTTTTTTGGGTTCAGTTCAGTTAAGTTTTTATTTAAATACCCTTTTTAATGAATTTTAGTAAATTATATTCAAAGTAGAGGATTTTTAATGATTATTTGGAATCTTTTAAAGATTTTTTATTTCAATGTTAAAGCTACCTTCAAACAGAAACCTATATTGAAACCAGTAAGGAAAGTAGTAAAGTCGGACGGGGCCGACTATATGATACCCTTCACCACTTTTGGTATATTCAACAGATGAATCCTGACATACGTCGCATTTTTAAAAGACCAGTAAAATGAAATTGGATCCATAAACATGTAATTCTGCAACCTATACTAATTTTTTTTCATTTGATCAGATATAGAGTTGCTGTTATGTACATCAATTTTAGGCAAATATCAATCGGACACCTGTTGATTATTTGGATAAATATATGACAAACATGAGGAGTTTGGTGCACCTATATCTAAATCTGAACCGATTTCAACAAGACTTGCCAGTGATTAATTTATATTAACTACAGTTCATTGTACAAAATTGTGTGGCAATCGGACACACTTTGGGTTTTTAGTGCACAATTTACATAAAATCGGAAGAAAAACTATATAGGACCTTTATCTACATCTGAACCGATTTCCACGAAACGTAAACACATCACTCTAAACTTTATTCAGTACGCTATGCCAAATTTCATGCAAATCGAAAGATATATAGGGACTTTGGTAAACCGTTACCTTAAATCGGACGAAAGTATATATGGGAGCTATATCTAAATCTGGACAGATTTGCAGGAAATTTAACACACATCATTCTAGACCAAATTCATTATGCTGTGCCAAATTTCGTGCAAATCAAAAGATATATAGGGACATTCATGCACCATTGACAATAAATCGGAGAAAATATATACGGGAGCTATATCTAAATCTAAACCGATTTTCACGAAACTTATCACACATTATTCAAGCCTTACTTCAGTACTCTTTGCCAAATTTCGTGTAAATCGAAAGATATATAGGGACTTTGGTGTACCATTTACATTAAATCGCACGAAAATATACATGGGAGCTATATCTAAATCTGAACAGATTTTCGGGAAACTTAACACACAACATATAGACCTATATCATTACGCTGTGCAAATCGAAAGATATTTAGGGACATTTTTCTCCAATTTCAATAGGGTTCGTCCTTGGGCCAAATAAGTGACCTATGCCAATTTTCGTCCAATTCGGATCATAAATGCGACCTGCACTTTGTTTACAATTTAACATGGACAGACGGACAGACGGACATGTATAAATCGACTTAGAAAGTGATTCTATGCATATTCACAAAAGGAACCATGTGTCTAACTCGTTTCCTTTTGCCTGTTACAAAAATATGCACAAAGACATAATACCCCGTACCACAGTGTGGTGAAGGGTATAAATAGCCGAAGTGGTACATATGCGAGGTACCTCATACACAGTGTGTGCATTTGCATTTTATTCCTCAGAAGATAATCCAATTATTAACACATTTTCACCACCGCGAAATTTACACATAATGTTCGAAATAGATACACATTTTTATGCAAAACAATATGATTATGACTCGACGTTTTCTTATATTTTATTAGCACATCTTTCAGTCATTTGATTTGAAATCCATAGACCACATTTTTCGTTGTGTTCTATTTCGTATTCTATGAAAAAAAACATTTCAATTCTGGATTAGTATCACTATCACTTTAAATATTTTACACCAACAAAACTGAGGTTGAAAAGATTATTCGTCACATACGTAGCTTATATTTTAATAAAAAAAAAAAAATAAAAATTAATATTGCACTTTTAAAAATATTTTACAAACACACTTATTTTTTGTCGTTTTCATTTACCTGCCATGATTGTTATAATTTATTTATTTATATTAATTTTTTATATATTATACAAATTTTGTATTTTTTCACTTTATATGTGACGATATTTCAATGTCGTGTATTTCATATACTGATCATTTCCAAACTAAAGATCAGTATATTCTTATTTCTTGATTATAGCTTGGTTCTTTATCAGTAAAACAAAACAGCCACACTACGTGCTCTCAATATGAAATTTAAATAAAATTGTCACGAGATAGAGTTTATATACCATTTAATATTGATCCGCACATAGCTATAATTTTCTGAAGGAACTGTGAGTAAAGAAAATAAACGTATAAGAGAAATCATGCAGAATAAAATTAAAAATAAAATCTAGCCCCCATACAATGATAACTATCAATTTAGATATCGAATTTGAGTTACATCGGTCATTAATTATAATCCTTAATTATAGTTATATTGTTATCAATATTGGTCGCTTTTATCGCTTTAAGTGTAACCTCATAACCTTGCCCTTAATATTGCAGTGTTTTGAGGATTTTATACGCAAGTCCCACCCTAAAATGCGTTATCAATATCGATGCACGTTTTGGGGTTTTGAAATTTTCGGAAAAATTTCCATTAAAAATTACTGACATTTTTATCGGAGGTACTTTATAGTTTACAACAATCGTTTGGAAAAAATGTCGGTATAGCTCCACTTTTTTAAAATATTTCATATATTTTCATTTCAAGTAACTGTCAGTATACGTATGGTAGAGGGTTTCAAAAGTTCGGCACGGCCGAAATTAACGCTTTTTATACCTTTCACCACACTGTGGTACATGGTATTATGTATTTGTGCATATGTTTGTGACAGGCAAAAGGAAACGAGAAAGACCTAGAGTTCCTGTTGAGAATATGCATAGAATCACTTTCTGAGTCGATTTATGCATATCCGTCCGTCTGTCTGTCTGTCCATGTTAAATGTAAAAAAGTACAGGTCGCATTTGGCTGAAATTTGGCACAGCTCATTCATTTGGCCCAAGGACGAACCCTATTTAAATTGGGAAAAATCGGTTTAGATTTAGATATAGCTCCCATATATATTTTCGTCCGATTTATGTAAATGAGGTGCCAAAGTCCCTGTATAAATTTCGATTTCTACGAAATTTGGTATGGTCTACTGAATTGAGTCCAGGATGATGTGTGTAAAATTTCCTGAAAATCGATTCAGATTTAGATATAGCTCCCATATATAGTTTCGACCGATAATATATGAAAATCCTTCGATTTGGCATAGCGAATTTTTGGCATAGCATACTGAATTGAGTTTAAAATGGTGTGTCTTAAGTTTCGGGAAAATCGGTTCATATTTAAATATAGTTCTCATATATATTTTCGTTCGATTTAAACAAATTAAATCTAGAATAACCTATATTGGATTAATGTGTGCATATGTTGATATATACGCTTTATATTATCGTGTGAGTTCGTGCAAATATTGCACCAAATAATAGCCGTTTCTCCGACCGAGATATGTTGTGAACAGCACACTATGCTGCAGCATACCAAGTGGTTGCTCATATACGTTCAGATGTACATACAGCTCCCATACACAATTGTGCATGATTTCATACAAATGGTACTCCAAAGAACCCAAGTCCGTTCGATTAACATATGTTTCAGAATTGTATGTGTATAGTTTGTTCAAATATCTATGTAGCCGACACATTTAATATCGTCATTTCTTCAGGATATTGTACATATGAGAATCTCTTGTATTTACCCAAAGTGGTGAAGGGTATCATAAAGTCGGCCCCGTCCGACTTTACTACTTTCCTTACTGGTTTTCAATTATGAATGGACATTTCTCATATACGTGTGTATATGAGTCATAAATAAAAAACAAAAGAATATCGTGTCCAAACCGTATGACCCCATAATTAGGTTATCTTCCACTAAATAGTCCATCAAATTTGACGAACATATTGATGCCGACTTGTTATTATTAAAAAAACTTTTCTAATGTAAACAGAAAAAATCCCCAATATATTTCCGAGAATTTTCAGGCATATCATGAAAACAATACAAATAAAATATACGCACTTTGAATAGTAAATAAAAAAACATTTGACAAAAATAAATTAAAATCTTCGGAAAACAAAGCTATAATAGTATGAAACAAATATTTATAAAAAATCGTGGTTTTTGTTCCGATTCTAATATTTTGTTTAACCATATCAAGTTCATATTTGAGCAATTGGTTTTACAGAAACCTGTTAAACTAGAACCTAAATACCACAAAATAGAGGACACTGACATTATTAGTAACAAAAGGATATGTGTGATGCAACCAGTATTCTTATAGCCATTCCCTACCACAATTATACGTTCTCACTCAAAATACATTAGTAACTCTCAAGAGCGAATAATGTGCTCATTTAAAAAACCAAGTATTTTTTCTTGCCTGCACAATGGGAGGGACTTGATAAAAGAGTGAATTTATAAAGTTTTATATCAACCATATGGGTTTATTTAATGAATGTGTGGATTCCGAAAAAATATATTTATGGATCTCTAAGAGTGTATTTTTACCCTTGACCATACTGTGGTGCATATATTTGTAACAGGCAAACGGAAACGAGATAGACCCATGGTTCCTTTTGAGAATATACATAGAATCACTTTCGGAGTCGATTTATGAATGTCCATGTTAAATTGTAAATAAAGTACAGCATGCAATTATGATCAGCAGGATGAACAGGACGAATTTTATTCAAATTGTGAGAAAATCTATTCAGATTTAGTACAGCTCCTATATATATTTTCGTCCGATTTTGTATAATTTGTACACAAAACTAATAAGGTTTGTCCGATTGCGACAAAATTTTACATAGCGTACTGACGTATGTACGGAGTCGGATACAAAAGTCCCTATATATCTTTCGATTTGCACGAAATTTGGTATAACGTAGTGAATTAAGTCTAGAATGATGTGTGCTTTAGTGAAAATCGGTTGCGATTTAGGTATAACTCCCGTATATATATATATATATATATTCATCCGATTTTGGTATATATCTGTCTGTCGGCAACAACGACTGGTATTTTTTAATTGTTCTGTCTATTTTTATACCCTTCACCACACTGTGATACAGGCTATTATGTCTTTGTGCATATTTTTGTAACAGGCAAAATGAATCGAGATAGATCCATGGTTCCTTTTGAGAATATGAATAGAATCACTTTCTGAGTCGATTTTTATGTCCGTCTTTCCGTCCGTCCATGTCTTATATATATATAGTTTAGCCCGATTTTAGGTAAATGTGTATCAATGTCCCAGAAAATCATTAGATTTGCACGAATTTTGGCATAAATCTAGAATACCGTGTGCTAAGTTTCATGAAAATCGGTTTAGATTTAGATATAGCTCCCATATATAGGTTCGGCCGATTTTAGGTAAATGTTGCATCAAAGTCCCTGCAAATATTTTAATTTGCACGAATTTTGGCATAGCGTACTAAATTAAGTCTAGAATGATGCGTGCAAAGTTTAGTGAAGATCGGTTCAGATTTAGGTATAGCTCCCATATATAGTTTCGTCCTATTTTAAGTAAATGGTGGACCAAGTTCCTGAAAATCATTAGATTTGCACGAATTTTCACATAGCATACTGAATTAAGTCTAGAAAGATGTGTGTTAAATTTCGTGAAAATCGGTTCAGAGTTAGATATAGCTCTCATATATGGACGCCTGCGAACCATAGTATGCTAAGTCGACCTAGTATGTTTTAAAGTTCTTTACGTTTTTAAATTCTCTGAAATTTTGGTAATCATCGGCCAATCCAAACCACAGTTATAAGCAAAAATGTACTTAGCATGGCACGTAAGATTAAAGAAACTTCCATACTTTGAGAGCTTCTGCTGAAAAACTCACTTTTCAGACTTAGCATACTATTCTTCGGAGGCGTCGATATATTGTCGTTCGATTTTATGTAAATGGTGCATCAAACTCCTAATGATAGCTTATATATATTTCTAATAGGTGTCCAATGGAGATTAAATTTTTAACACCGAATTTTTAACCACAAATGTGTCCCATGGTCCAAATCTGCCCAAATGAAATTAAATTAATCATAGGTTGCAGAAAGACATGAGTATGTTCCTTCGAGGGAACATGGAGATACAATTGTAAGAATACATATGTTGAATATACCCAAAGTGGTGAAGGGTATCATATAGTCGGCCCAGTCCGACTTTACTACTTTCCTTACTGGTTTTCTTTAAAACTCGCTTATTTTTGTGTATTCTTGTCATGAGATGCATGCAAATTCTCGGAAATATATGGGGGATTTTTTTTAATTTCCATCTTAACAATAAATAAAAAATTACCTTAAATATATTCATCAAATTTGATGGACTATTTTGTGAAAGATAACCTAATTATGGGGTCATGAGATTTGGACACAAGATTCAAATTGTCAAGATTTTCAATGGGCTGGTAAACGAATACCGATGCTTGTTAGGGCTTGTTAAGAGTTCTTGAGACTTTTACTTGAAGGAGTCCCCTTAAATCCAAAAACAGAATATATTAACATATTTTTTTTTTAAATCTGCGCTAAGCAGGGTCCTTGAAAAATATGTATTTTATTTTTTAATTAACTAAATTTTAAATATTTTTTGAAGAAGGGAATACTATTTTAACCCATTCCCACTTAACTCCCCCTTATTTGTTATTTCTTCACTCAAAATTTGAGTGAAAATACTTGTATCCAAACGATGAGTAATAGCTGAGAAGAGTCACTCTCCAAAATGGGAAAAAATAATAAAAATAAAAACAAAACAATTACGTTAGAAAGATAACAGCGTTAAAAAAACGATGTGAACAGGTAGGTGGTATGCCAGGTAACAAATAAGCTAGATAAAGACCGGGGTGACTGACAGTGGTTATTTTGCCATAGCCCATTCAACAGTTAATAAACGTTAAAGGAATTTGATTTAAACTTTTTCATAAGAAAATTGTTAAAACATTGATTATTTCTAAAATAAATAAAAAAATAATATTAATTTAAAAAAGTGAGTAAATAATATTAAATAATAAATAATATTAATATTAATTTAAAAAAGTGTGAAACGAAAAAATCTGAAAGCACAAAAAAAAACAAAAATAATAATTTAAATTTCCTAAACTGATAATTATTAAATAAAATTCTCTAAACATTATCAAACCTATGTGCTATGTCCAGGGCTTCAAACAAACAACAGCTCACTCACAACTATTTCATGCTCAGAGAAAACGAGTCTTTTGTCAGTCGGAATTTATAGACTCTATCAAGAAGAAATTTGTCTACCAGTTTTGGTATAGGTTTTTTGTTTCGTATAAACTCAATGCATCCGGACAATTGAGATTCCATGTATAAAACCATGAAGCACTGTCATTTACAGCGATCAGTCTATAGACGATTGTTGAAGACAATCGAACAACGAACAAACAAAAAACAGATAAGCGCACAAACAATGACACTGGTCGTCCATTGAATGAGTGCCGCCGAACAAAAATAAAATTTGAGTAAAAAACAAAACAAAAAAAAACTTCTAAAAATATTTACTATCAATTCATTGATAAGACGATAGTAGAAAATATCAATAAGCAAAACAATAACAAAAAAAAAAACTCAGCCGGCAAGAAAAGTGAAAAAAGAAAACAAACTATAAAAACATAAACAGAAAAAAACAATGGCTTCATTACTCATCCGAACAGGTGAAGTACCCAACCAAACCTAATTAATAAATTCATATTCTGTTGTTGTTGTTGTGGGTTTTTTTGTATTTATTTAAATTAGCTATTAAAAGTGCTTACTGTGAATCGATCTACTGTGAAGTACCCAACCAAACCTAATTAATAAATTCATATTCTGTTGTTGTTGTTGTGGGTTTTTTTGTATTTATTTAAATTAGCTATTAAAAGTGCTTACTGTGAATCGATCTACTGTCAAATTGATAAGCTAACATGCGAATTCACTTAAATGAATTACCAAAGTAGCCACAATTTAACAAATGTATTACCCCCTCACGTTTAACAAACTATTTTTTGGACGTTTGAAGGTCCCTGTGTTGAGGAAGTGCGTTTCGGTTTTAACATCGATATGAGTGACAAAATTATTAATAATCATACCAGTATAAATATAAGCCGGTCGGAGGCTAATGTGCTCAAAAAACTTATTATTGACATTAAGTTTATGGCAGATAAAATTGAGCGGGTTTGCAGAAAGTGTAGTGTCAAATTACTGCCACACTCTCGATATGACATAAAAACTAAAATGCGCCTAAGATCTTTAGAATATTTTAAATCCGAAAATACCAGAATATCGATAGGTGAAAATATCTAGTGAGATTTTTTTATGTGCCAATCGGTGTTGCCGACAAATATATATCCTCAGGCTATGGTTTGCGAAGCTCGACGGACTTACTGTCTAGAGCCGATGTGGGATATTTTTTAGTAACTTTATAATTTTACCCCCCTCTACAATAAGCTGAAGTGTATATTAAATTTGTCATTCCGTTCGCAACACCTTGAAATATTTACCGGAGACCAAATAATAAAGTAAATATATTATCGATCAAAAGTTTCAGGGTAACCCCCATATAACGGCACCTTCCAATATTCGTTATTTTTGGAATCTTGGACACGTTTTTTTAAATTGGCTGTAATTTTATATTTTGGGTCTTCATTGTATAACACATCCTTGTACTAAAAACTATTTGGTATAGACCAATAAAAGGTTAGCCACCCAATTTGGTAATCATAATTGTCTCACCTCATTTTCGGTATATTCAAGGTCCTATCATAACATGAGTTTTCTCCCAGGAGCACCATTAATTTTACACATTTTGAGTGCCATCCTCATGGTGGGATATATAAAAAGTTTGGCCGGGTAGAACATCGTTTTAAATAGCTCTTCAGAATTTTGACGATATGTGAATGAAAACCCACATATGATGGACCTATATACTCGATAATTGCGGATTTAATTGGTTACTCAATTCAATGTGAAATCAAAGGATCAGATCGGTTACTCCATTATTTTGTTTTGTAATATTGACCTTATTGTTATGGATAAATAGAATACTATACATGTTCAAAATGTTTGAGTGTGTACCGATGTGTGTCTTCCGTGTGTCTTCCGACATAATTTAGAGTTGTTTAAAACTTGTATTTAAATTTTCTAAATGTATACACTTTGTGGGGGAAGTACTAGAAGGTGTGGATAGATGGGTTGTATTAATCAAACCCATTGTTCATATTTTTTTATAGCCATCATGTATAGTATAGTATATTCCAAATTTCGGATATTTTGAAGTCAGATCACCCTTTTCAATCAAAGCGGCATCATTTTATATTTTTATACCCTTCACCACACTGTGGTACAGGGTATTATGTCTTTGTGCATATGTGTGTAACAGGCAAAAGGAAACGAAATATACACATGGTTCCTTTTGAGAATATACATAGGATCACTTTCTAAGTAGATTTTTACATGTCCGGCTGTCCGTCCGTCTGTGGTCCATGTTAAATTGTAAACAAAGTACAGGGTATTATGTCTTTGTGCATATGTGTGTAACAGGCAAAAGGAAACGAAATATACACATGGTTCCTTTTGTAAATATACATAGGATCACTTTCTAACAGCCTGTTTTTGTAAAATTCCAAACGAACGAATTCGACTGACTTACGACCAAACTCCTTGGTTTTGAAAAATATGTCATTTATTTTTGTTTTGAATCCGAATACCTTTATAAACATAAATAAAGGTTTGGTCGTATGTCACTCGAATTCGTTCGTTTGGAATTTTACAAAAACAGGCTGTAAGTCGATTTTTACATGTCCGTCTGTCTGTCCGTCCGTCCGTCTGTCCATGTTAAATTTAAACAAAGTACAGGTCGCATTTATGATCCTAATTGGATGAAATTTGGCATAGGTCACTTATTTGGCCCCAGGACGAACTCTATTGAAATTGGGAAAAATCGGTTCAGATTTAGATATAGCTCCCATATATACTTTCGTCCGATTTTATGTAAATAGTTGACGAAAGCCCCTATATTTCTTTCGATTTGCACGAAATTAGGTACAGCCCAATAAATTAGGTCTAGAATGAAGTGTGTTAAGATATAGCTACCATATATATTTTCTTCCAATTGTATGTAAATAGTGTGCGAAAGCCCTTACATTTCTTTCGATTTGCACGAAATTTGGCACAGCGTACTCAATTGGGTCTAGAATAATATCTGCTCAGTTTCGTGAAAATCTGTTCAGATTTAGATATAGTCTCCATATATATTTTAGGCCGATTTTATGTAAATAGTGGACGAAAGCCCCTACATTTCTTTCGATTTGGACGAAATTTGGCACAGCGTACTCAATTAAGGGGATCCCCCCATTCTCGGGGTCAAAATTTTTTTAATTTAATTCGATTCTACACTAATTCAAGAATATCTCTACAAAATTTCAAGTGAAAATCTCAAGAATTCTTGAAGATATAGCCGATTTATTGTGTCAGCATCAAGTGACGGCTAAAGGGCTTCTCAAACTTTAAACGCGTTTTTCTCTTTTGCGAATGGCGGGCACGATAACTCAAAAGCTAATAACCCAATCGATTTCAAATTTTTACACGTTTCTCTGTGAGTGTATAGCTATCGTATGAACTAGGATAAAGCCAATCGGTGAAGATCTTCCTAATTTTTTAACTTGGTTTTTGGTCAAAATTTGGCGATTTTTCAAAAATATTTTTTCAAAGGTCCGCCATTTTGTTAATTATAGAGCGAAGACAGACATGTACTCTTTCTAACACCGTTGGAATTTTCGGATTCCAATGATCCAGTGAGGAGTTATCATGCCCGCCATCAAAAATAAGGACGTTTCTTTAATTACAAAAAGCAACAACAAATCAATAACAAAAATTTTTTGTAAATTATGTTTCTTCTTTTTTAAATCTTCAAATATATATGTGCAAAGTTACAAACCTTAACAAGGATTGGTATTGATTTACCAGCCAATTGAAAATCTTGAAAAATAAAAATCGAGAATGGGTGGGGTTCCCTTAAGTCGAGAATGATGTGTTATAAGTTTCGTGAAAATTGGTTCATATATACATTCTTCCGATTTTATGTAAATTGTGCACTAATGACCCAAAGTTTGTCCGATTGACACACAATTTTGTACAATGTACTGTAGTTAATATAAATTAATATGTTGTTGAAATCGGTTCAGATTTAGATATAGCTTCCACATATATATTTTCGTCCGATCTTAGGTAAATGGTGCATCAAACTCCTAATGTTTGTAAGATTACCACAAAATTTCGCAATGTATTAAGTTGAGACTAGAATGACGTTATTGCGTTTTGTTAAATGTGGTGCAGATGCAGACATAGCTTCCATATATATTTCGAACGAGTGTCTGATTGGAATTAAAAATTTAACAGTGCGGCATACCGAATAGTGTGTATCAAGATTGCTTTAAATCGATTAGTCCCATTCTACACAAACGACTCTAAATCTACCCGAATGAAATGAAATTTAGGATAGGTTGAAGAAAGACATATGTATGGATTGATGTTAGTTGGTTCATTTTATGTTTGGATACCTATGTAGAATATACCCAAAGTGGTGAAGGGTATCATATAGTCGGCCCAGTCCGACTTTACCGACTTTACTCGCATGGTCGGTAATCTTGGCACCTGCAAACATAAGTTTATTGTAAAAAATATCATTTCTGGCTACGTCGCTGGTATTTGACATATCGGTAAAAAAAATATTGGTGAGAAAAAAACAAGTATGGTAAACGGTCTTGACGTATTTTCGGCATGTATAAGGTCTTAGTTGAATTTACATATTTGAGGGTGTGTAAAATTAAATAACCGTGGGATTCTACTGATTTGATTGCATGTGATTTGGAATTAAATAATAATCTATATAAAATTCCCCACAAACTTAGATTTTGTGAATTGCTTTCACATGATGGAGGTACACGATTTACTAGAAAATTTTGGGGTTTATAGGGGAAAAGTACCTCACATACAATTAACGAAAGAAGGCCAACAGATGGCACAGGATTTACCCAATTTTTAAACCAAACTGTCTAAAATTCTAGATTTTACGGTATTTTTTTAATATTTAAATATTTATTATTTTTTTGTGGATCATTAAATCGATTTATTAAAATAACTGCCCTCTTTTTACAGCCCTCTTCATTGGCATACTAAGCTGCACTTTTAATTCTATAACAGCTGGAACAATAGCCCCCTCCCAAATGGCAACTCGTAATCTATTCGCAGCTACTCTCTTTTCATTTGTGGCTCCTGATCACCTCAATGATAATGTGGTTTATTCACCAGCTTCGATACAAACATGTTTGGCGCTAGCCTTTGCTGGTGCCGATGGTGATACGGCTCAAGAACTACGTAAAGTGCTATATCTTGGTGAGGGCGATAAACGCCAGGTGGCACAAAATTATGGTGAATTCTTAAAGACCGCCATTAAAAATACCAAGGAAAACGGACCAACTCTTAAAATGGCAAATCGCTTGTATGTCAATGAAAACCTCAAAATTGCTGAAGAATATAATAGAATCGCCAGCGAATATTTAGAGGCCAAAGCTGAAAATGTTGATTTCCAAAAGTCTAATGATGCCATTAAGAAAATCAATACTTGGGTGGAACAAGAAACTGAAAATAAAATAAAAAATCTAATGCAACCAGGATCTGTGGATGCCACAACCACTGCTGTATTGGTGAATGCCATTTATTTCAAGGCGAAATGGTTGAAACCATTCAGTAAATCATCCACAACCAAAATGAACTTTAATGTCAATACAAAACAACAGGTCCAGGTTGATATGATGTTTCAGGATGATAAATTCCAATATGGTGAATTTGATAATTTGGATGCCAAGGTTTTGGAAATGCCCTATGAAAATTCCGATCTCTCTATGTTGATCATATTACCCAACAAAGTTGATGGTTTGGCAAAATTGGAAGAGAAACTAAAGGGTGTTGATCTCAATGAAATATCCTCGAAATTAGAAACCGAAGATGTTGATGTTATGTTACCCAGATTCCGTATTGAATTTGATATTGATTTGAAGGAGCCTCTGAAGAAGGTAATAGAAAATAAAAACATTGAAAATATTATGGAGATTATTCAAAATAGTTTCTTCTTTTCAGATGGGTTTGAATAGCATGTTCTCAGATGCAGCTAACTTTAAGAATTTATTTGCTGATGGCCCCACAGCCCAAAAAGTCTCCGATGTTAAACACAAAGCCTTTTTGGATGTCAATGAAGCTGGTTCCGAGGCAGCTGCTGCAACATGTAAGTTCTCTGATATACAATTATGAATTATTTAAATAATATTTTCACTTTTTTTTTTGTAGATATGAAAATTGTTCTCATGAGCCTGAACATAGATCAAAAGACTTTCAAAGCTGATCATCCGTTCGTATTTGCTATACGCAGTAAAACCGCAGTTTATTTTGCTGGCCATGTTTCCAAGTTCTGAGCTACTTTATTTATAGAATTTGTACTGAAGTATATATTTGTAGTGCATACATAATTTTACAATAAAAATTTGAAAATATATTTTTGATATAAGAATTTAATAAATACCATTTTAAATATATGTTCTCAGGATATACATATATAAATCGGCAATTGCGACAAATAAACTTTCGATGTAGTGAAAACCTGACGGGACGGTTCATAGGGTATACACAAAAAGATATAAATATATTTTGTATATATGCACTATAAGGATTTATGCACTATGTCTCATTCAAATGTTTGTTTTTGACTCCAAATTTTCTTGGTCGATTTCAGACGATTTGGATAACTGCCAAAGAGAGCAATAGATTTGGCCCAAACTTTGCTAACTGTAATATTTTTCCAAACTAAAATCAAATTCGAAGGTGGAGAATATCCTCCTTTTAGTTCCCACTCCCAATATGGGAAAAATTTAGCTGATAAATTTATAAAATCAGGCAGAAGGTTCCGATCCGATTTGAAGTAAACATAGCACATCATGATGGGGCTTATCGGTCAACTACGTCTTGTGCATCCCCCATAAAGTGTCAAAGTTTTGAAAATGTATAAATTCAATATTTAATCAAGTATCTAGGGTTATACCGGAACCAAAAATTTAATCCATTGGTCCACTGTTTATGATAATTCTCCTACATTGTATTAACTTTTACAACAATTTCAAATCCAATATCAAGCGAATCGAGTTTGCGATACCCATTTTTCTTTTGACCAAATCCCTTTCAGGCAGTTTGGAGTCGATTTACAAATGTCCATCTGCCCGAGTAACTAATTTCATTGCAAATTTACACTTCGTAATATTTATACCAAGCCTGAACAAGCTGGAAGTGTACCATCTTGACTTCGGTTCACTCCTTTTTCTATCTAGAATTTATAAATTTAATTTTTTAAATTTAAATTTAATAAAAAACCAGTGAGGAAAGTAGTAAAGTCGGACGGGGCCGACTATACCCTTCACCACTTTGGGTATATTCTACATATGTATCCTAAAAGACGACGCATTTTTAAAGGACCAGTAAAATGAAATTGGATCCATAAACATGTCATTCTGCAACCGATACTAAATTTTTCATTTGGTCAAATATAGAAGCTATATCTTAATCTGAACCGATTTCAGGAAACTTAACACACATCATTCTAGACCTAATTCATTACGCTGTGCCAACTTTCGTGCAAATCGAAAGATATGTAAGCACTTTGGTGCACCATTTACATTTAATAGGACGAAAATATATATGGGAGCTATATCTAAATCTGAACCGATTTTCACGAAACTTAACACACATCATTGTAGGCCTAATTAATTACGCTGTGCCAAATTTCGTGGAAATCGAAAGATACATAGGACTTTGGTGCACCATTTACGTAAAATCGGACGAATCTATATATGGGAGCTATATCTACATCTGAACTGATTTTCACGAAACTTAGCACACATCATTCTAGACTTAATTGAATACGATATGCAAAATTTCGTGCAAATCGAAAGATATATAGGGACCATGGTGGACCATTTACATTAAATCGGACGAAAATATATATGGGAGCTATATCTAAACCTAAACTGATTTTCAGGAAACTTAACACACTTCATTCAGTACGCTTTGCCAAATTTCGTGCAAATCGAATGAAATGTAAGGGCTTTCATCCCCTTTTTACATAAAATCGGACGAAAATATATATGGGAGCAATATCTAAATTTAAACCGATTTTCACGAATCTTAGCACACATCATTCTAGACTCAATTCAGTACGCTATGCCAAATTTGGCACAAATCGAACGGTATATAGGTACTTGGGTACACCATTTACGTTAAATCGGACGGAAATATATCTAAACCTGAACCGATTTCGGGAAACTTTCATTCTCATCTCATCTCTCATTCTCATCTCATTCTAGATCTAATTTATTGGGCTGTGCCAAATTTCGTGCAAATCGAAAGATATATAGGGACTTTGGTGCACCATTTACATTAAATCGGACAAATATATATATATGGGAGCTATATCTAAATCTGAACCGATTTTTCCCAATTTCAATAGGGGTCGACCTTGGGCCAAATAAGTGACCTATGCCAAATTTCATCCAATTCGGATCATAAATGCGACCTGTACTTTGTTCACAAAAATACATGGACGGACAGACAGACGGACATGCGTAAATCGACTCAGAAAGTGATTCAATGCATATTCTCAATAGGAACCATGTGTCTATCTTGTTTCCTTTTGCCTGTTACAAACATATGCACAAAGACATAATACCCTGTACCACAGTGTGCTGGAGAGTATAAAAAAACCAGTAAGGAAAGTAGTAAAGTCGGACGGGGCCGACTATATGATACCCTTCACCACTATGGGTATATTAAACAGGACTATTAGCATGAACTTGAATGAAATAAAATATGTGATATTTATCAAAATGTGAATCTACGTAGATCTATCCATAAAGTATGTAAATCGACTTCAAACAAATATAAATAGGTCATCCGTTGGGCTATGTCTGTACTTCTAGAAAACGAAACTACATAATTCTATGCTCAATTTTGTACGTTGTGCAAAATTTGATGTCAAACTGACTAACATGAGGAGTTTGATGCCCAATTTACGTGAAATCGGGCCAAATATTAAGCGATTTCAAACAAACTTGTCACAGGATACGTTATACTAATTTCAGAACGTTTTGTTCCTATTGGTTCCTTGGTGCGTCAAGTACTTAAAATCAATCTATAATAAAAGGGAGCTATATCTAAATGTGGACCGATTTTCACGAAACAACGCAGACATCAATCTAGGCTCAATTCAGTACGTTATGCCAAATTTCGTGCAAATCGAAAGATATATAGGGACTTTGGGGTACCATTTACATGAAATCGGACGAAACTATATATGGGAGCTATATCTAAATCTGGACCGATTTTCACAAAACTTTACATACATCATTCTAGACCTAAATGATTAGGCTGTACCAAATTTCGTGCAAATCGAAAGATATATAGGGACTTTGGGGCACCATTTACATGAAATCGGACGGAACTGTAAGTGGGAGCTATATATAAGTGGGAGCTATATAGAAATCTGGACTGATTTTCATAAAACTTGGCAGACATCCTTCTAGGCTCAATTAAGTACGTTATGCCAAATTTCGTGCAAATCGAAAGATATATAGGTACTTTGGGGTACCATTAACATGAAATCGGACGAAATGGGAGCTATATCTAAATCTGGACCGATTTCCACGAAACTTTACATACATCATTCTAGACCTAAATGAATAGGATGTACCAAATTTCGTGCAAATCGAAAGATATATAGGGACTTTGGGGCACCATTTACATGAAATCGGACGAAACTATATATGGGAGATATATCTAAATCAGTACCGATTTTCATGAAACTTGGCAGACATCATTCTAGACTCAATTCAATACGTTATGCCAAATTTCGTGCACATCGAAAGATATATAGGGACTTTGGGGCACCATTTACATGAAATCGGACGAAACTATATATGGGAGATATATCTAAATCAGGAACGATTTTCATGAAACTTGGCAGATATCATTCTAGGCTCAATTTAGTACGTTATGCCAAATTTCGTGGAAATCGAATGATATATAGGGACTTTGGGGCACCATTTACATGAAATCGGACGAAACTATATATGGGAGCTATATCTAAATCTGGACAGATTTTCTCTAAACTTGGCAGAAATCACTCTAGGCTTAATTCAGTACGTTATGCCAAATTTCGTGCAAATCAAAAGATATATAGGGACTTTGGGGCACCATTTACCTGAAATCGGACGAAACTACTTATGGGAGCTATATCTAAATCTGGACCGATTTTCACGAAACTTGGCAGACATCATTATAGGCCTAAATGATTAGCCTGTACCAAATTTCGTGCAAATCGAAAGATATATAGGGACCGTTTACATTAAATCGGTTAAATATATATATGGGAGCTATATCTAAATCTGAACCGATTTTTCCCAATTTCAATAGGGTTCGTCCTTGGGCCGAATAAGTGACCTATGCCAAATTTCATCCAATTCGGATCATAAATGCGACCTGTACTTTGTTTACAATTTAACATGGACAGACAGACGGACTGACGGACATTCATAAATCGACTTAGAAAGTGATTCTATGCATTTTCTCAAAAGGAACCATGGGTCGATTATTTTTGCCTGTTACAAACATATGCACAAAGACATAATACCCTGTACCACAGTGTGGTGAAGGGTATAAAAATGGAGCATACGAATGTTCGGATAAGTTTATACTACATATGTCATAGGCGGAGGGTATAACACTGTCTTTAAAATCGAAATACACTTTATTATTTGTTGATGAACAACTTTCCTGAAATCTTAAAAAGTTTGTATAGTTACTGCTTCGGTGCGAAAACGTGTCCTAAATTTGTAACAATACAAAAAAAGTATTTACCAGCAAAGAATTAACCATAGTGAAACAGGGCCTACACCACTTTGGGTATATATCTAGTGGACTATATATATATATATATATATCTGAACCAATCTAAAGCAAACATTTTAGGTTTAACTAGTAAAAAACATTGTTTTCGGATACTTCGATCGGGAAAGATTTCTATGCCAAAAAAGTTCAAATTTGATGCCAATGTTTTGTCATAATCGCCATGTTAAGGTCTTGTATTTTCAAATCGCAGTTGCTGAAATTTACATTCTGTGTTCGTGTAGTGCAAAAAAATTTTTTTTACAAAAAAAATCCCCTTGATTTGAGGATCCCGAACGAAGTAGTTATTGTCAATGCATAACTCATAATGGAAGGCACAAAAAGGTCGGCGGAGCCAATTTCGGGGTTTTAGAAGACAAAAACAAAGTCAATGATCGAAGTATGTACAAATGTAAACATTTCCTGATTAGTTCCGAAATACTAACAAATTATTACTAATTCCAATATATGGGATTTTATGACGACA